CTTTTTTCTTCTCTCCCTCTCTCCCTTTTCCTCCCTCCCTCTTCTTTCCTTCCTTCCTTCCTTTTTCTTTCCTCCCTTTTTCTTTCCTCCCTTCCATTCCAGATCAACAGCGAATACCGGGCTGAGTTTGCCCACTGCCTGGAGCCCCTGCTGCCCTTGTCCCCGCGCCGGTCAGTGGTGGGCCCCACAGGAGCCATCGGACCCGGCCTGAGCAACAGCAACATGTACGTCTCTTGTTCAGTGGGCAACCTAGAGGTCACTTAGTCTTAGCCCATTGCAACAGCTGGACCTGGCTGCATCGTCTCAGCTTCCTCCTCATTGGGTAGCTAGGCACCCGGCTGAAGTTGGGACTGGCCAGCGGTGGCAGCCACTCAAGTTGTAGGGGGGAGGGTCTACTCCCCCCCAAACTAGGAAGTCTTGGGTAGCCGCTCTCTCCAATCATCTCTTTTGCTTGGAGGACTAAGTCAGCCAGTTAGTGGAGTTGGATCATCCAGGACTTCTTTAACGATGGCTGGACTTCAACTCCCAGAATTCCCCAGCGGTCTACCTGTCCCAGGTACTTGGGAAGGACTCAAAGAGGTGGAAAAAAAAAACCTCTCCTAAATCTGATCTGAAGTGTCCGATTCTGCAACCGACCATAATACAGGTGGTCCTCGACTTAACAAGTTTGTTTAGTGACCACTCAAAGTTTACAATGGCACTGAAAAAAGTCACTTAAGAGCCGTTTTTCACACTTGCAAATGTAGCGGCATCACGGGATCAAAATTCAGAGGCTCAGAAACTGGCATGGACTTAGGACGGTTGCACTGTCCCAGGTGCCACTGCTTTCCAGTTGCTTCCTGATTTTTCCAATAATAAATAATTGGAATAATAAATAATAATTAAAAAACTCCATTTTTCCTGGCTTCTAGGATGTCTGGGGGTCCCGGATCCAAGACCCTCTTAGTGACCGGCTGTTCATCGTCCCATGAAAAAATGCCCCTGCCTGGATCACCGGTAAGGAAGGCCACGATGCACCGATACATCAGCACCAAAGTCCTCTTAGCCGAAGGGAGAGAGACACCGTTTACCGACCACTGTCGGGACTACGAGAACATGTATCGGGTAAGGATGGCGGGACCGGGGAAACCCCGCTTCCGTTCGATGGGTGTTCGCCTCCTTCGCTTAACGACCGCCGCAAGAAAGGTTGTAAAACCAGTCACGATAACTTAACGATCCATCGCGGCTTACGAGGTTCGATTACAGTCGTTAAATCGAGGACTGCCTGTACAAAAAGTGAAGAAAAGTATGGAAGTAGTCCTCAATTTACGGCCGTTTGTTTAACGACGTTACCACAGCGCTGAAAAATGACTTGGAGCCAGTCCTCGCACTTATGACGGTTGCACCGCCATGGTGACCTGATCCAAATTTCAGGTAGCATCCTGGAGGGGGGTGGGGTGTCATGTGATCGCCCATTTGTGACCTTCCCAGCCGGGAAGGGACCTCAGAGATCATCTAGTCCAACCCGCTGCTTAAAAAGACAGATTTTATACGATCCCACTCAAATGGCTCGTCTTGAAATCCTCCAGCAATGGGAGCACTGAACGTGGGGAGTCTTAAATTAAAATAAATCATTAAAATCCAGCGAATTTTACCGGGTTGGCTTTCCCGCCCCTTCCTCATGCCGTGTCCCTCGACAGGCGCTACAGACCGAGATTCAGAGCTTGAAGGACCAAGTGCAGGAACTTCACCGCGACCTCACCAAGCATCACTCCCTGATCAAGACGGAGAACATGGGTGAAATCCTGCAGAAATCCCTCCAGATGGACGTCCAAATTGCGTCCGAATTCTCGTCGGTGGAGATGAGACGGACCGAGTTTGAAGAGGTACTCCATCCTGTCTCTTTTAATTCCCTTCGTGGCAACTCTCGAACTCGCCGCACTGGCTGAATTCTCTCCCTTCCCTTGCTCTCTTCTCGTCGTAGACCTGGGAGGAAACCTACCAGAGGGTGGCCAACGAGCAGGAGATTTACGAAGGTGAGGGTCTCTGTCTGGAGCTCCTGGGGAAGGGCAGAGGGCCCCTTCCTCTTGGACAGAGGTTCCTCTGAGCGCGTGCAGAGTTGGGGGTGGGGTGGGGGAGGGAAGGACGGATGGCTTTCCAGGAAGGAAACTCGGCTTCTCTCGTCCAGCCCAGCTCCATGACCTGCTGCAGCTGAGACAGGAGAACAACTACCTGACGGCCATCACCAAGCAGATCGCTCCCTACGTCCGCTCCATCGCCAGGGTCAAGCAGCGGCTGGAGCCCAGGTGAGGAGACACCTCCGCCTCCCCCACCGGGCTTATCGATCAATTAATCAATAAACTCAGCTCCTGGGCCATGGCTGGTGGTCTGCCCTGACTCCACCCCTCCTTTCTGCTTCCTTTCCTTTCCTTCTTTCTTCTCCTTCTCTCCTTTCCTCCTTCCTTCTTTCATTTTCTCATTTCTTCTTTCATTTTCTCATTTCTTCTGTCTCCTTGTCCTTTCCTCCTTCCTTCTCTCCCTTCCTATCCTTCACTCCTTTCCTTTCCTCCCTTTCCAATTCTTTCCTTCCTTCTCTCCTTTCCTCCTTCCTTCTCTCCCTTCCTATCCTTCTTCACTCCTTTCCTTTCCTCCCTTTCCTTGTCCTTTCCTTCCTTCTCTCCCTTCCTATCCTTCACTCCTTTCCTTTCCAATTCTTTCCTTCCTTCTCTCCTTTCCTCCTTCCCTTCCGTCTTTTCCTCTTCTCTCCTTTCCTCCTTCCCTCTCCCTTCCTATCCTTCTTCACTCCTTTACTTTCCCTTCCTTCTCCTTCCATCCTTTCCCCTTTCCTCTTCTTTCCTTGTACTTCCTTCTCTCCTTTCCTCCTTCCCTTCCTTTTTCCCTCCTGCATACCTGCATCCATCCATCCATCTTTTTTCTTTCTCTCATTTTGTCTTTTTCTTTCTTTTTCTCTTTCCTCTTACTTTCATTCTTCCCCCTCGCCCCTCTTCCTCATTCTCCATTAATTCAAGGATCAGAGCCCCCACTGCAAATGCCCCCCTCCCTCCGCATCAGTTGTGGCAACCACCTCACCCACTCATTCCGGTGGTCTTCGTGAGTTCTTGGGGGTCTTTTCTGGCCCTGTGGGAATCTCCCCTCACTCGGACCCCCCCCCTTCCGTTTTGCAGGTTCCAGGAGTGGAAAGAGAAAACGGATCAGCCGGAGAGCCTGCTCAAAATCTACGAAGACGGACTCCTCCCGGCCGAGGCTCCACCCAGGTAATCGGTCGATCCGAGGGAATCCATGAATCCTGTCCATGCTTTATTTGAAACACACAGGCAGTCCTCGACTTACGACCACCACCGAGCCCGAAATTTCCATGGCTAAGCGAGACAGTCGTTGAGTTTGGCCCCAACTTACCACCATTCTTGCCACCGTCGCTAAGTGAATCACTGCAGTCTTTCAGTTAGCAACACGGCCGTTAAGCGAATCGGGCTTCCCGCCTTGACTACCTATATTTGGCTTGATTCTTTCCTCGTCTTTTTCTTTCTCCCTTTCTGCGGAACAATCTCGGTAGCACCGGCAAAGAGCGGGCACCTAAACCAGAAGCGCAGATGCTCGGCCCGGCCGCCACGGACCCGCAGCCGAAAAGCACCGAGGGCTTCAAAAACAAGTCGAAAATCAGAGCCGAGACCCTCTCGGAGCCCACCGGAGCCCCAGCGAGTCTAAGCAAGGAAGGAGACCTGGAGACGCAGCTTCTTTTGCATTGAGGGTGCAAAATTTTCCTTTTGGGAGGGGACAAAAATATATATATATATTTATCTATCTATCTGTGCCTATTATTCCGTGAATGCTGAAGGCTTTAAGTCTAAATTGCGCGCATTTTATTTTGCGTGGTGGATGGAACGCGCATCTAGGAGTCGTAACCCCAAATTTTACACAACGGTGCCTCTCCTTTTTTAGCTTCTTTGCCGACCCTCGCCCAAGCGCGGGCATTAAAAATTAAATGATTTAATAGAAGTTCTCTATTCTCTAGTAGTCAGATGGTTTGCTGATGATTACGGGTGCTGCAACGCATTTTTTTTTGGGGGGGGCAAATTTTTTCCTGGCCTTGCCAGACAATTTGCGACGTAAGATTTCGAAACAGCGTTTTTGCAATTTAGAAAATCTTACAGCCGGTGGAGACGCGGCAGGGAGGATCCGTTCTTAAAACGTCTCCCCATCTGCTCGACTTCTTGGTTCTGCTGCTAAAATTAAATTAGCCTTGCGTTTTTGGATTACGGTATTAAGATTTCCCAAGGCAAGGTTGACCTGATCTCCTTTGTTAAGAGAGCTTTCTAATTCCCATCTGGCATTTTCCAGTTGCAAGACATAATATATATATATATATATATATTAATTTCTTTCGCTTTTGTCATCCTTGCAACCCAACTGGGAAAAAAAAAAAAGCAAGAAAGGAAAGTGAAAAAGCGAAAATATTAGAATTAGTAAAAAAAAAAAAAAACCTTAAAATTGCTTCCTCCTGCAAGTTTCCCCATCACAAAAAAAGTTTCACCTTCCACAGGAGCGCCCCCCCCACTTCCCTTCGTTTCAAACGTACCCTGGGCGTCATTAAGTGAGATAGACGGTGGGTGTCTATTAAAAACTCTATTGCAACGGACTGCGCTAAAATCTATTCAAGCGATAATTTTGCTAGCTTTTAACCACCATTCCTCTCTGGATTATAACCGCCGCGAACACAATAACAAAAAAAAAAGGTAATAAATTTATCTTTGGTTTGTAACTGGAACAGAACCGCGCCATAGGAAAAGTCTGAGGAAGAAAAGGACAATGTGTTCGGTTTTACCGAGTTGTGTCTGTGCAAAGTTAGAAAACAATTTCGCCGTGGCCTTTTACGGAAACGAAATGTTGAAATGAACAAGTTAATGAAATTAAACGGAAAAAGAGAAATGGAGGTTCCAGGAACAGCAAGGAATGTTGAAACCCTCTGCAGAGAGAGGAAAAAAAGCCAAAATGATGATAAAATAATTTTTTAAAAAAACAAGGAAGGAAACGGGTGTAGAAATCGACACATATGTCAGCTTTGCCATCGAAGTTTTGCATAAGTGATGAGGAAAAAAAACTTCCTTTTCCCCCCCCCCCACAAAAAAATCTCTTTTTTGGGTGGGAGACCAAAATTATTGCAGGCAGGCAGAGGGGAAGAAAAAAAAAAAGAGAGATTTTATGCTGCAAGTCAGCTGGATGCAAATTTTATAACTTATAAAATTAATAATTTTTCCAAAAGAGTTTTAAGATCAGGCTTCAAACGGCTGGGTGCGAATTTCACAACTTATATAAAAATTAATTTATATTTTTTTACAAAAGATTTTAAGATCAGGCTTCAAACAGCGTTAAGCGGCCGTAAGAAGGGCAAAGGGGAAAAGATCAAGATTTTCATGATTTTTTGGGGGTGGGGGGGCGGAAATATAATCTGTGGGAATTTTTTTTCTCAGTAATCTTTTGATCCAGGCTGGGATTCAAACTCGGGGCGAGACGCAAACGACAAATAGCAAATTTTCTCTTTTTTAAAAAAAAACAAAAAGGAAAATTAGACTTATGGCTCGGTCGGAGAACTCTAGGCAGCCCCGTAAATCCTCCAACGAAAGTATTTCTTTTTTAAAGGAACCTCTAAAGTAGGGGTCTCCAACCTTGGCAACTTTAAAGACTTGTGGACTTCAACTCCCAGAATTCCTCAGTCAGCTTTGCTCTCTCCGCTCCCTTTCTCTGCAATCTCTCCGCTCTAGACAGTGGAAGAAAAGAAACAGGCATGGATGGCTGAGGAATTCTGGGAGTTGAAGTCCACAAGTCTTAAAAATGTTGCTAAGGTTGGAGACCCTTGCTCTAGAGTTTCTCGAGCCCTCTGCACGTGCTCAGAGGCTTTTCCAAAGGCTTAGCAAAAACCGAGGCAGGACGTAGCCTCCCCACCCCCGATGCCAGTGTTAAGTGAAGGGGTGTCTCGTGTCTCAAAGTTCAATTTTGAAGCCGCGGATAAAGGGGAGTCCGGAGGGCACCTTCTTCTTATAGGCTAAATATTCTTCTCCGAAAAAGTGGATCAGGGCCCGTTCTTCCTCTTCCACCCGGTCGCGGAAAAAACGCCAGGAAACCAGGGTGTAGCCGATCAGGCAGACGGGGTTGCAGAGAAGTACCTGGGAGTGAGAAAAATGAGGAGAAAAAAAATGGGTTTTTTTGGGGGGGAGATTCTCTTCCGGATTGGCATTCTCGAGTGTTGTCGCCCGCCAGCGGATCTGGCAGCAGATTCGGACAGAGAGGAGGATGGGAAGGAACATGGCCCAGTCCTGGAGCTTGAATCGAGACTCATGATTTAATTAGGGCATCTGTAGGAACCCTAACATCGTCGTAACTTTGGACAGTCACTAAACAAACAGTTGCTAAGTCAAGGACCCCCTGCAATCCATTTGTTAAATGAATCCCAATTTTTTTTTATGGCGAATTGACCCTACCTGAGTTCCGACGCTCCAGGAAAACCACCCGACGTACGAAGGGTGCCGACACCAGCCATACACGCCCCGCGTCACCAGCCGGTGCGACTCCGCTTTCTCGTTCTGGACGATGTGGTTGAAATTCGAGCCGGCGGTCAGCATGGCTGCTTTGCGTAAGAAGTCGCCCAACACGACCATCAGCAGCCCGGCGGAGCTGAGCCAAGCCACCTGCTTCATTTCTGTAAAACAGAGATGGGCGTTTCAAAAAAACAAAAACAAAAACGGGCCTCGACTTACAACAGTCCGTTTAGTGGCTGCTCAGAGTTAAAAACGGCAGAGAAGGGGCTTTGCAGATTTGGAAAATGGAGGGAAAGTGTTTTGTTATCTTGTTGGTGTATCTCTCTCTCTCTATTTATCTACCATCTGTCATCCTATCTTCTGTCTGTCTCTATTTATCTATCATCCATCCATCCATTTTCATCTGTCCGTCCATCTATCTACCTACCTACCTATCATCTGTTTGTCTGTCTATCTGTCTATCTGTCTATCTGTCTGTCTATCTATCTATCTATCATCTATCTATCTATCTATCTATCTATCTATCTATCTATCTATCCATCCATCCATCCATCCATCCATCCATCCATCCATCTATCTTCTCTCTCTCTCTTTCATTATCTATCATCTATCTATCTATCTATTTATCCTTGAGTCTTCGGAGAAAGGCGGCATACAAGTTGAACAAATAAATATCTATCTATCTATCTATCTATCATGATAAATTCAAGTGTTCACCTGGGAAAATGAATTTTTCCACGGTGAACTCGATCCACGAGGAAAGAGCGGCCATGTTATATTCGAAGCTGTGGTTGAGCAGGAAGGAATCCAGAGACAGGCTACGGGGGTTGTTGACTGCCGTGACCAAATATTCTGAATAATGGAACAGAGACAACGAACACATGTACCTGCAGAGAGAGAGACAAAGAAAGTCATGCACAATTGAGAAAATAAATCTGTTTTAAACTTCAAGAAAGTCTCACCCCCCAAAAAACCAGCAAGGTTTTCCTGTATTGTCAACAATAAGGATCAGCAAAGAATCAACCAGCCTTTATTAAAATCTAGTTTGAGTATCATGAGAGTTATTTATTTATTTATTTATTAAATTTGTTTGCCGCCAGTCTTGTTGCAAGGCGACCCAGAGAAGTTTCGTTGAGTGTCAATTTATGACACGTTGATGTTTCTTATCCAGACACAAAGCCTGTGTGATAATCATAATAATCATTTTGTTATTTGGATCTTATTTGGATGTTATAACACCCACTTGGCTCAAGTTTCCTTGTGCTTATAACACCAATTTGCAGTAACAGATAAGCACAAATGTAATTTTTTTTTATTATAGATAGTCCTCGATTTATAATCCTAGACTTGAAAGTTTCAAAGAGAAAGGGATCTTAAGAGACTATAGAATCCTAGGGCAGGAAGGGACCTTGGAGATCTTCTAATCCAGCTCCATGCCCAAAGCAGGAATCCTAGACTGTGAGGTTATTTAGTTCAACTGCCCCCCTGAACAGTGCAGGAATCCCCAAAACAGTGGAGAATCCTACATTGGAACATTTGAAAGGGATCTCTGAGGTCATCTAGTCAAATCCCCTGCCCAGTGCACATATCCTTGCCCCCCCCGCCACCAAAAAAAAAAAAAAAAGAGCAGAAAATTTTTGACAGGAATGTTCGGAAGTGACCCGTGAGGTCATCTAGTCCCCAAAAATGGTTATTCTTACCAGCCAAAATGTTTCCAGGAAGACTGCCTGAAGCTGAGCAGCAAGCCGCATCCGAATGCGAAGCCCAGGAAACAGGCCCGGATTGCTATCTGCAAGAAAGAGGCAGACAAGGATGGTGAGCTGGGGGGAGGCAGGCTGCTATGGCACCGGTAGAGTTACTTGGGGCAGCTGGTGGGAGGGACTGCAGGCAAGGGGGCTGCCTTCAGTCAACACTACATGCCTCAAATTTGGCGATTCAGCTTCTTTGGTCTAGCCAAGTTGTACAGTCCTTGACTTACAACGTGTACAGGCAGTCCTTGACTTATGACCACCATTGAGCTGAACATTTCTATTGCAAAGTGTTAGTTTTAGTTTTATTGAATTTGTATACCGCCCTACTGCCGAAGGACTCAGGGCGGTGAACAGTCATAGAATAAAACAATATAAATACAAAATTTAAAATAGAATAAAACGAATTAAATAAGGACTTAAGGACTTTTACGACCTTTCTGGCCACATTTAAATGAATATTGCAATCATTATAAAAAAGAGGGATCACGTGACCCCAGGGGCAACCGCAGCCGTCATAAGTACGAGACAGTTGCCAAGCGTCTGATCACGTGACCGCAAGGGATGCTGCAACGGTTGTTAAGTGTGAAAAACGGTCATATTTAGAAGGGACCTCAGAGGTCATCTAGCCCAACCCCCCCTCTGCCCAGTGCAGGAATCCCCCAAAAGACGAAAGAGAATCCTAGTCTAGAACATTTAGAACGGCTCTGTGAGGTTATCAAGCCCAACCCCCCCTCTTCCCCCAATGCAGGAATCCCTTTTAACAAGCAGAATCCTAAACTGGAATATTTGAAAGGGGCCACCGAGGTCATCTAGTCCAACCCCCGGGAGTTAAGCTAAACCAAAATTAACCACCCCCCCCAATTTAAGTTCTGACCCCCATCTCGGGGTTGCGAAGGCTGGAGCCAAAGGAACCCTCTGTACATGCTCAGGAGCCCTTCCCTCCCATTCCAAGGCAAAGAATCCATTCAGGCAAGAAGCAGCAGAGAAAAAGATGCTCTTAAGCCCCGCCCCTCCGAGGACCAGGGGGCGTGGCCTCGCGGAGCCCCGCCCCTCACCTGGTACATCCCGCCCGGCGCTCGGCCCCAGGCCAATAGGAGCGTCGCGTTGGCGCCGGCGACGTGGAGGGCCAGCGCGGCTCGGCCTTGGAAGCCGGCCCGGAGCAGAAGCGGCACGGCGGCCACCACGGAGCCGCCCAGCAAGAAGGCGGCCAGGCTGGTGCGCGCCTCGGCCCCGCGGAGCCAGCCCGCCCTCCGCTGCTCGCCAGCCATGGCGGACGGCCCGAGGCCCGCCCCGCCCCGCTCTCGCGAGACTTGCCGCGCGAGCGGGGCGGGGCCGGCCCGCCCGCAAGCCTCGCGAGACTCCTCCGTAGAGTCGAGATCGCAGAGATATGAAAAGTATAGAGGTGTCCGCGGTGGGGTCTTCTTTCATTCATCCAAGCTTCTCTTGGAGAGCCGGAAGGTAGAGATAAAGAAAAAAAAAATGTAGAGCTACGAAAAGTGTAGAGCAGCCCAAGGGCTGTTTCTGAGTCACTTTCCGAGCCCTTTTGTAGCGCTTTTGAGTCCCATGGGGCTACGCCGGAAGCACATGGGAGTTGGAGTCCTTTTGCAATCTGGAGGTGCTTTCCTGCAAGTTTGCAGGGTCGTGCGATGTTAGGCAGCCTGGAGACTGGCTGCACTGTCACTACTGGCATTTAGAGGATGGAATCATTAAAAGAGAGAGATTGATCGGGGGAACCTCAGAGGTCATCTAGACCAACCCCAGTCTAGAACAGGGATCCAGCACTGTAGCAGCGTCTGGTCCAGCAATGAGGTCCCATCTGTTGTATTTAAGTGCCCCGTGATGAAATAAAAGACCCCAAATTCCATTTCTCTCCCCACCCCACAAGACTGGATCCCTCCCCCCAATTCGATGCGAAGGTCTTAAATTTTCTTTATATGACACTAAAAAGCGGTAAGCAACCTCAGCCAGGCAAGGGGGAGGGGGAAAAATTTGGTATTGGGAGTCTTTTCAGCACCATGGATAGAGACTTTCCGCTTCTGAGCACGGAGGCTCGGCTAGATGATCTTCAGATGCCTCCTGGGCTGGGACCCAGTGGTTCCCCCAAGCCTTCTGCTTCAGCCCGGAGGGGCAGAGGTGCCCATGATCCCTTGCTAGGAGGCCGGTGCCAACCAGGAAGCTGTTCAGCAGAGCCTCCAGCTGTGGAGACCCTGGAAGGAAGCACAACTGGATTGCACACCTGTGCCCATTTACATGCCGGTAAGCAGGGTTTGCACCAACATGTCTCCTTCTGTGCAAATCTGCAACGGTTTGGGCCTGGGTGGATGCCCCCTGGCCATTCTTGCAGGAGACATTTGCACCTGGGGGTCCCATCTGTACCCCCTTGTCTTCCCTTCCACGTTCATCAACTCCCAGCACCTGAAAATCCATTTCCAGGTTTGCAGGACACATGAACCTGGTTAGTTGGTGCGACACGCCAAAGATGGTTAGTTTAAACCTGAGTTGGCATCTTGGGGTCCGGCCTGAAGCCAATCCTGGTCCTTTAGGATCCAAAGGCTTGCATGAAGCCTGAAAATTGTTTAAAATCCTAATATTGGTTCAGTTGGCCTTAGGACTGCTGATATGCTCTTTGTAATACCTGGTTAGGGACTTATTTTTTTAATACAATGCAGGTAGTCCTTGATTTACGACGGAGCCCAAAATTCCTGTGGCTCAACAAGACAGTTCTTAAGTGAGTTTTGCCTCATTTTACGACCTTTTCTTGGCACCGTTGTTCAGTCTCTGCAATTTTCTGCAACGGTCGTAAGTAAGAAAATTAGTCCTAAATCACTTTTCTTTAGTGCTGTTGTAACTTTGAACAGTCACTAAACGAGAGTAGGTGTTATTTTTTATAGATTGGCGATGGGGGTGCTCAAATGCAGAACAACCTGTGACCAGTAGATGGCACTATGACCCCACAAATTGTCAGATGGTTCTCCCGCTAATTATTTGCCTTTTTCACATATTCAAGGTGACAGAATCAACATTTAGATCAGTGTCTTTCAACCTTGACACCTTTAAGATGTGTGGACTCCAACTCCCAGAATTCCCCAGCCAGGGGAATTTTCTCCCACTCCTTAGAGCAGAGAGATTGCAGAGAAAGGGATTAAAAGAGAGTAAGCAGGCATACAATAGGGGATAGCCATAAAAAGGCATGATTATTATCAGGGAATTATGGGAGTTGAAGTTGACCAATCTTAAAAGTCGCCAAGGTTAAGTAACCCTGTTCTCCACAAAAGAAATATATTGAATTAAATGTACCCCGACTCTCAGGAAGAAAATGAATGACCGACGAGACGACTTTTCTTTTTAATTTTTAATTCAACTTTTTACAGGAAGAAATCCTCAAGAGGTCCAAAAACTTAAAAAAGAGAGAAAGAGAGCAGGCTACAAAGAGTTTGGGAACAAAAAACCGCCGTGAAGAAAACGTGTTCGGGTTGAAGATCAAAGTCCGCTAGGACATGTTCTAGAAATATATATATATATATATATATACATATATTGCACCCCCAGAAAAACTGTTTAGGGAGGAGCGGGGTTATATCGAAGACGGAGCAAACACCCACTTAGATACCAGAGAGGAGAAAACGGGGGGTACAAAGTATCGCCCTAAAAGTTGGAAGTCGCAGAACAAATTAAAATGCTTCCAAAAGTCTGGAAATGCCACGAACCTCATTTCTTAACTGGAAAAAATAAAATAAAAGTATTGCCTTAGGACCCCAGAAAGAGATAAAAAGGTACAGTATAACAAAGGGTTTAACAGTCCCCCCCGCCCCAATATCCCACCCTCCTGTGTAAAAGAAGTCCGAAACCTCTGGCTGGTTGGATGACCTCTGGGAATCCCAAAATGGCCAGCATGGTTAATTTTTTAAAACCCTTTTAAAAAGGCACGATATTCTTTATTGTTTTGCTTTTTTTTTTTTTTTTGGAGGGGGGGGAGATTTGAGACGGGGGGTATGGAAGCCATCGGGGGGGGGGGGGGGAGCTGCCATGAAAGTTTTTCAAAATTAATTTTTCAAAATTTTCAAAATTTATCAAAACCCATTTTCTCCCCCACCTGTTCTCAAGAGGTACCGTCCATCGTTCCTGGTATGTTCTTGCATTAGGTGGCTTCTTGGGGGGGGGGGAACCTTTTCATAGTGGGTTATTGTGCAAATTAGGCTCACCCTCATCCTCTCATGAGGACTAGAAACCTGTCTAGTTTCTCAAAAGAGAAATGAACGATCAAGCTGCTCTTTTCTCTTTCGCTCACAAGATTGAGTTTTGAGGATGTTTCTTCCCATCTGGCGGATTTGATCATGATGGGAGGTGGCCTTATAACAATGGCTTGTTCAAAGAATCCTGGTTAAAAGTGGCAACTCCATCTTGGCTTAAGTAAACCAGTCGGCTTCCTGGGTTTTTTGGTAAAACTTTTGATACACCGTGCCTGATTATATTCTGCATAGATATTACACAGCTCACTTCCTGCTTGGAGACGCGAACAGTTTTACAACATTAGAATTGAGGAAATTGAGCTTCCATATTTAGTGGCAGTCTACCAGGATAAAGACACTAGTGGTTGTTTTCTCATCATGAATATTTGGGGTTTTTTTCAGAAGGATGCATCTAAACTTGATGGCTGCAGAACAAGAGTGGACTTCAACTTCCAGAATTCCCCATTAGTCTCTTATAATCCCTTCCACTGCAATCTCTCCGCACTGGGAAGGGAGTGGGTGAAAACGAAAACGAGCATGGCTGGCTGAGGAATTCTTGGAGTTGAAGTCCATCCATCTGAAACTTGCAAAATTGAGAATTATGGGTTGATAGACAAACCCACATAAAGTTTAGATGTCATTCCAAGCTACGGGAAATAGAATTAAATTTGGTTTTTAAATCTAGCCTTATTCTGCCTTTTTTTTGCTTTTTTTTTGCTTTTAGAGAGAGGAACGGAGGACACCAATTTTTGCATTGGTCATAATTCAAGGCTTTGGACGTTAAGCAGAGCGAAAGGTAACCAGGTTATATGCCAGGAGGAAAATGTGATTTGTTTTTAAAAAAGCCCAGAAGAATAGAAATGGCACAATTTGTCTAGATTTGGCACAGACACGATACCCACTTTAGATAAAATGTGTTTTTGTAGTAGAAAAAAAAATCTTATTGCCTTCATTTAGATTTGTTTTTGTTTTGTAAATTCCCACTATCTACAGTTTAGTGATTGCTTCATAGAATCCCATCGGGAAACTCATCTTGCTTTTGGGGGGGTCTTGAGCCCGGGAACCCAAAAATAAAAATTATTTTGGTTTTACAATGTGTAAACTGGCTTTTTTTTGGGGGGGAGGGTGAGGGGTATCTTCCCAAGGCCACCATAACCTCAACACAAATTTTTAAAAATTGGATTGCGTGGAAGAGTTCTTGTCCAAAATAGCGAACTATCCCTGAACAGAAGGTGAGGGCACTTGTTGTGAATTGCTTGGTAAAAATCCAGAAAAGTTGTGTGCCCCTCAACCATAGAGAGAAGAAGAAAGAGGGGCAACTTTCAGTCCTTAGGACAATTTCTCTTCGGACCAAAACTGGACGTTTGGGGGCAGGTAGCCTCCTTAATTCAGGACAGCATACAAATGAAATGAAAAGGCGAAGATTTCGTATAATATTAGCAACCGTTGCTCTCTACTCTCCCTTTCTCTCCAGGCGCTAGTTTTCTCCCCATCCCCGTTTTATTTTCAATCAAAGAACATGCAAATAGCTACCTGGATTAGGGCAGAAAAATCCATTCCCTTGGCCTGAGCTGAACTGACCAGATGTTAAAACATCTGATGGGGGGAAGAGGGTGGGGTTTCCTGCATGCCCCAATGTGGGAACCCTTGAGAAGAAAGGCGTAGGGCGGGCGTGACACGGGGAAGGACTCTTTGTCACAATGCAAGAGAAAAAATAAATTTTGTGTCCCCTGGTATACAGTAAGGAGACTGAACAGCCCTAAAAAGTTTCCCTCGAAGCTGGACCCATGCATTCTCCCCCACACCCCATTATATAGGGCAGCAACCCCACTGGTTGTGGGTCAGGGCAACCCCTCCTGCAGGGATTGCCCCGTTTGTTGTATTGCTCAAGTGGGATGCTGCAAAAGGAAAGCTGCCATTTTTAGTGCAACCTTCCTCCTCCTCGCCCCATTTCTGCATCCTGTAAATCACCCTTGGGAGGTTATGGGGCTGTGGCTCTGTGCAGGATGTGGGGCGAGGCTTTGGCACTGAACAGGAGGTAAAGTGGTGAGTTTTCTTGCTTAGGGGGCTGGGGAACGAAGCCAAAGGGATTTTTTTTCTGGATCGGACTTAAATTTTGCTCCTGAGAGAAACCCACCATTTTTTATTTTTTTTTGCAAACAACCAGTTGTCCCAGTCCCAACGTTGACGCTATTCTGGAATAACGGATCACACGCATGTGACACTATTCTGGAATAACGGACCACATGCATGCAACATTATTCCAGAATAACAGACCACATGAATATGACACTATTCCAGAATAATGGATCACATGCACATGAGACTATTTCGGAATAGCGGACTACATCCATGGGACATTATTCTGGAATAACGGATCACATGCATGTGATACTATTCTGAAATAACGGACCATGTGCATGCGACACTCTTCTGGAATAACAGACTCCATACACCTGACATTATTCTAAAATAATGGACCACATGCATGTGATATTATTCTGGAATAACAGACCAAATCCATGTGACACTATTCTGAAATAACGGACCACGTGCATGTGACACTATTCCGGAATAATTGACCACGTGCATGTGATACTCTTCTGGAATAACGGACTCCATGCACCTGACATTATTCTGAAATAACGGACCCCATGAATGTGACACTATTTCGGAATAACGAACCAGGTCCACATGACATTATTCTGAAATAACAGACCATGTGCATGCAACACTATGCTGGAATAATGGACCCCATGAACATGACACTATTTCGGAATAACGGACCACACGCAGGTCTCACCCACCACTCATTGCTCGACAAGAGGGTCTCTTGGAATGTAGAACAAGGACTGAGAAAGTTGGAGCGCGTGCCGTGCCAAGGTTTTTGGAAAGGGAAACTTGGCTCTTTTTGGCAACCGCTTCCTCCCACGGCTGTGCTCCAAGAGAGAAGGATCAATACCCAAAGACATGCACATTTAACATCTACCTAGAAAAGTTCTTGGAGAAGACGTGAGATGATTAGAAAAACGAACCAAACCAAAAAAGTCCGTCAAGTTTGGACGAGCTGTGTGGGTTCTTGCGGTAGAAAAGGAAGAGAGGAGAACATACCCTCTCTCGCCCCGAGCTGAGATATGACCCGTCTGGATTCGAAGTGCTTTTCTTACAAGGTTGCTCTCTGAAGCATCCTGCTTAACGTCCCTCTCCTGCTTTTGACAACCAGGACGAGAGACAAAAATGAAGGTTCTTTGGTGCTTTGTCCAGTTCCCGTTACCAAATCCAGACCGCAACCAGAAGGAAATCCCGTCGAGCGAGAAACAAATCTGGAAGCCGAACGGGATGACTCGCCGCAGCCAACTCGCTGCGGGACAATTCAACAGATACAAAAGTTAATTTTCTACGGAACCGTGGCCCATAATAACAAAAGGAAGTCATTGCTGAAATACGAGAGTTACAAAAATTTCGACAAAAACGTGGCCACCGATCATAAAGTAACCGAGCGGAATGATTAATGCAGTGTTGAATTGTCCTGAGTTGTCCCACGACGAGTTGGCCGCAACGGGTTGTCCTACCTAGACCTTCTGGAGGATACGTGTACGAAGCGATTCCGGCTACTCTGGTGTCTACGAGGCCGAGCTAATCGAATCCGAGTGGAATGTGACGTATCCAGAGGAGGCCGAAGGTGAGCTCAAGAAACTGCTCGTGCTACCTTTGCTTCCATTTTTCTGAAGATCGTCTTGGCCTCTCCAGGAAGGACTCAGACCTGTCCGGAAACATTCTGTCTTGGAGCAACTCCTGATCATCGGACAATCCTCCGTCCCGGGACTCTCGCAGAGTTCTACGTGAATCTGTTCGTGGCAAGGCATGTCCAAACTCCCTTTGGGAAAGAGAATCCGAGTGTCCTCCTTGGCCGGGAGAGGGCCCGGTACCATCAGAGAAGTCCCTCGTCCCTGGACTGAGATGCTTCGCAAAACTTGAGGCTCTCGTTCGAAAGTGGTCAAAGGGAAGTCTCGGAGAACGGAGGTGGTTGAACGGTGCGGAAAGGCATCTGGGAGGAGAGAGACGGAGGCCGAGCGCACTGGCAGCCTCCTCAGGGTAGGACGTGGACTGGGATCATCCGTGAAATCCATCACATCCTCTTTGCTAAAGCACTTGTAGCCTCCCTGCCGGTGGATGTCTTCGCACGAGAAGGGCTTGAGGGATAATGGGCTCTCAGCGGACTTCCTGCGCTTTCGGTGCAGACGCCGATCCTCTTGGTAGGAGAGGGCGCTGGTCCTCCGCCGGTCGTATCGAGGCTGAGGGAGGAGCAAACTTGCCAGTTCAGCGGTGATGTCCTCTCCTGCCACCCAGTGCTGAAAGTAGGCCGAAATCTGGCTGGTGGTCCAAATCTCAGTTTCGTCATGCGAGAAACGCCGAGTCGGAGGGACCTGTAGGAGAGCAGAGCAAGAAAGACCATCATTTAATTTATTTATTTTCTAAATTTTAAATATTCTACCTTGTCTATCCTAACAGTGAGAACAATGAATAGGTTTCCTCCACTCAACGTCAAAGGCGCACGGAACGCTGTTACCTTCCCATCAAAGGTGGTCCCGATTTTTCTACTTGCATTTTTTACCTGCTTTCGAACTGCTAGGTTGGCAGAAGCTGGGACAAGTCACGGGAGCTCATCCTATTACGCGGCACTAGGGATTCGAACTGCTGAACTGCCAACTTTTCGATCGACAAGCTTAGCGTCTTAGCCACTGAGCCACCGCGTCCCTTCAGACTAATTAGCACATGGCAAATGCACTCTGCTGACAGCAGGTGAGAAGGTCACTTAAGAGTCGAACTCCCTCAGTCAGAGGGAGTATACCTTAAATAAAATACACCGGGGATCAATAACGGGGTGAGGGCTGTTGGCCTGGAGTCTGCCTCCTGGGAATTTGGATCCGATCTCGTGGGATATATCCTTTTAGCACAAGACAGAAATGAGAAAGATCAAACCTTAATGGCATCTCCCTATTGTTCCCAAGGGCAACCTGCTCACCTGGAGATACTGCATTTTATCGTCCGGGACAGGCTTCGTGGCGTAGACCTGAGGGATCCCCCGCTCCAGTGCTGACAGGTCATAGCTGGCGATCTGGTCCACAGTGAGAACGTCGCCGGAGAGGCTGTCGGGATAAGGTTGCGAGTACATCGCATCTGTGGGAATCGGCCGGTCCAAGCTAGTCTCTTTGGTCCCAGGTAGACAAGAGAGGACAAGAGATAAACCGCGAGAGTCAGTGTGTCTCTGCCACATCTTCCCAGTTCCCACCACAAGAACGTTTGCAAGTCTGAAAGTACAATTCTTCCGCCATCGCCATTACAGCCGGAGAAACTAGGGAGGGTCCCTTCTGAAGCTGTTTATCCACCTGTTATGCAGCTGAGGGCTTTGTGGTCTCTTATCTGGACTGTTCCATTGGCTGTGTCTCTTTTCCCTGTCTACAAAGGTCCTTTCAATGTAGCACTATAAGAACCTTGCAAGCTTGAAAATACGATCCTCCCCACCCCCTCTCCTTTACAGCCTGAGAAACTAAGGAGGGTCCCTCCCAAGTCTCTTCCTCCACCCATTATGCAGCTGTGGGCTTAGCTGACTCTTATCTGACCCTTCCCTTGGCTGTGTCACTTTTCCCTGCCTCCAAAAATTCTTCCCACGTATCACTGCAACAACCTTGCAAGTCTGAAAGAACAAATCTCCCCCCGTCTCCTTTGCAGACTGAGAAACTAGGGAGGGTCCCTCCTGAGCTTCTTGCCCTATCCATTGTCCAGCTGTGGGGTCAGCTGACTCTTATCTGACCCTTCTCTTCACTGTGTCTCTCTGTTCCATCTCACTTCCAACCACAAGAACCTTGCAAGTCTGAAAGTACAAATCTCCCACGGTCTCATTTACAGCCTGAGAAACTAGGGAGGGTCTCTTCTGAGTCTCTTTCTCCACCCCTTATGCAGCTGAGGGCTTAGCTGACTGTTATCTGTTTCCGTAACAGCAGCGTCGTATTTCCTGTTTGATCTACCTGGTAAAGCTGACGCCATCCATGCCTTATCTATCTCGCACGTCTTCCGCGCAACCAAGACAGGAACGGAAGCCGGGAGCACCTGTACTGAGGCGTCGCCGAGGCACACCACCTGTACTGGAGGTGCACCGCCGCTGGGAACCGCACGCTCACCTTCCCCGCCGTCATCGTTGGACATGATGGCCACGCACTTCTCCCAGACCAAGCGGACATTGGCCCGGTAGCGGTCGCAGGCCCAAAGGAACAAGGGCAGGAGAAGGGACTGGGCCACGGAGCACCAGATGATACACAGGACCATCCAGTCGTAGGCCACGTCCGACTTCAGGCTGGCAAAACTCACCACCTGAAAGAGGACGGATGAAAACTCCTAATCCATTCTCATCAATAAGGCAGGCTGAAATTATGCATCGGTTATCACTTCTAGTTTCCTTTTTCTTCCTCCCACCATTTCCTTCCTTCTCTCTTATTTCCTCCTCCCTCCCTCCCTTATTTTTTATAAACACTTCAAGGTGGTAAATATACCTAGTAGTCTTTCCTCCTCCTCTTTTACACACAACAACCCTCCCAGGTGGGCTGGGCTGAGAGAGTTAACGGGCCCAGCTGGCTTTTATCCCCGATCAACCGAAATTGAATCAATCTAAACAATAAGGGAGGCTATAAATTCATTCTCTCTCTCTCTCTCTGTCTCTCCCTGTCCATCCTTCCACCCACATCCATTTATCTAACTACCTTTCTCTCTTATCTCTCCTGTCCGTCAGTCTCTATCTGTCTCTGTCCGTCTGTCTATCTATCTATGTACAATATTTATAATCTCTCTCTCCTATCTACAATATCTATCTATCATCTATCCATCCTTCTATGTACAATATCATCTCTCTCTCCTATCTACAATATCTATCTATCATCAGTCTTTCTCCCTCTCTCTTCTATCTACAATATCTCTCTATCTGTCTGTCTGTCTACCCAGCCACCCACCCATCTTGTCTACATACAATATCTATCATCTCTCTTCTATCTATCTATCATCTATCTATCCATCCACCTACCTACCTACCTACCTATCCATCCACCTACCCATCTATCTATCTATCTATCATCTATCTATCTATCTAGCTATCTATCTATCTATCCATCCACCTATCTATCTATCTATCTATCTATCTATCTATCTATCATTGATCTATCTATCTATCTATCTATCTATCATCTATCTATCTATCTATCTATCTATCTATCTATCTATCTATCATCTATCTATCTATCTATCATCTATCTATCTATCTATCTATCTATCTATCATCTATCTATCTATCATCTATCTATCTATCTACCTATCTATCTATCTATCTATCTATCTATCTATCTATCTATCTATCTATCTATCTATCTATCTATCCTATCTGTCTTTCTATCTATCTATCTAGTGTCTCTTTGGCAGGAGACACCAGATTTTTCTCTGCTTGGGGCACCAATACCTGCGTCCAAACAACCCCACCCTATGTTAGACTGTTGTCAGCAACAGCAGCCATCCCACTTCTGCCACCAATTTTACCAAGACAGGAAATCCCATCAGGAAATCGTAGAGGAAAACGATGCCGGTGACCAGGTAAGTGATCTGGAGAGACGTCTTGATGGGTTCGGATCCATCGATGGAGGAGCGGCGTTTGCCCTGAGCGTCCTCCACCACGATGGTGGGCACGTTGAACTTGTTCTTGTCCAGGTTGTTGCCCGTTTGGATGGAGAAGGTCTGGAAGAGGGCGATGGCCACGCAGACCACCCCCATGGCCATGCTGCCGCTGATGAGGAGCAGGAAACAGACCCCGAAGCCGAGGCCGATTTCCGTGACAATGAAACGGCAGTCGCTGGCGTAGAACCTCTCAGCGGTGTCGTGCCAGCCCACGGCGGGCAGCGTGGAGAGGATGAAGGAGACCATCCAGATGCCCATTACCGTGTGAACCGCTTGCTTCTTGGTATTGCTTAATCTGCAGGAGGGGAAAAGGCAGCCACTAAGATTGGGCAGGATTCCTTATCTGTTAGGTCAGGGGTCTCCAAGCTTGCCCACTTTTGTGGACTTCAATTCCTAGAATTGCTTGATGATAACATACGTCTTTTGACGTGCATCCCCATTGTATGCCTGTTTACTCTCTTAGGGTCCCTTCCTCTGCGATCGCTCCGCTCTAGCCAGTGGGAGAAAAAAATAAAAACTGGCATGGGTAGCTAAGGAATTGAGGGAGTCTGATGAATGAATAGATGAACGAACGGATAGATGGATGGATAGACAAATGGAAAGAGGGATGGAGAAATGGATGGATGGAAACATGGATGGATGAATGGATAGATGATGGGTCAAGTGGATGAAAGGATGGAGGAACAGATGGACAGACAGATATATAGATGGATGAGTGAAAGGACAGATGGAAAGATTGATGGATGGACGGACAAATGAAGGTTTGAAGAGTTGGATGGAAAGAGGGATAGGCAGATGAATGGACAGATGGATAGGTAGATGAGTGGATAGATGGATGGATGAATGGACAGATGGATGGGGAGATGAGTGCACAGATCATGGATCAATGAATGGCTAGAGCAGGGGTCTGCAACCTTAAACACACAAAGAGCCATTTGGACCCGTTTCCCACAGAAAAGAAAACACCGGGAGCCACAAAACCCTTCCCGTGCCTGACTATTTCTTGAGCGGCCACAAAACTAGCATAGGTAGTTGAATTAAACCTTCTGCTTTCTTCTGAAACTTTTCTTTTCTTGGATTTATCCATGGTTGGCCTACCCGGGGTTGAAAAGCTCAATAAATCGCGTGCCGGCAGGTGTCGCACATTGGCGGTGGTGACGCATATTTTGAGTGACAAGGAG